AATGCACGCATTCTCTCTCATTTCTAACATGTCACCGTCTTATCATTTTACATCAACACCAAATTCAACGTACTGATTTATATTGACATGGACCACATCTTGGGTTTTGGGTAATTAAAAAGAAGAAATTTTAGAAATTTTTGCAAACAAATCATTAAGAAACAACGGATGGTTCCTGGAAAATGATGATAGAGTAGACTAAGGCAGGTGGAAGCACTTTAGTATTTAATAATTGTTGACTTTAGTGCAAATGGTACCAAATATAACCACTTACCCAATCAAGTTATATCTGATATCATATAGTGACGATACTGTCAAATAAAATAAATACCTTGTCCAATGAGCATAAGTAATCGACGGCTCTTTCTCTGTTTACCAAGAAAGTGTGTTCGTCCATTTCAATGTTGGGGGAGCCCCTAAAAACGAGTTAAAATGCACCATTTCAATGAGCAAAATTGTGACAATTGGAGAGAAGAGTGAAAGGTGACACGACCACTTACTTCCCCCACCAAAGCTCATCTGCGGTGCTCTCATCCTTGACAACGCGTTTATCCCTTGGCGAGCGGCCTGTCTTTGCCCCGGAGAGTGTGGCTAAAGCACCACCGGACGTTATGAACGACCCTTTCTCGTACTTTATGGCTTGCTCATAAAGCTCTACATAGTACAGCAGGTTATGGTAAGCATGAATCACAATAATATCAACACAAGGAGAGATGGGGGCTGTTGGGGTGTTAATCCAGAGGAGATGTTCTTATTCGATTTGGTAAGATTTGACTCGAATTAGACTTGTGTTTTAAACGAGTTGAATTTAAATAATTTTTTAGACTTGTGTTTTAAACGAGTTGAATTTAAATAATTTTTTAGACTTGTTTTTTAAAAAGCTCGGCTCGAGCTCGCACAATTCAGCTCGTTTATAGGTAAAATAATTGAGTTACTTAGACTCGACTTGGATTTGGCTTGGCCTCGGGTTCGACTCATTTTCTAAATAAATTAGAGATTGAACAATTTTTTAAACTCATTTAGAAAAACGAACTCGACAAGTTCGAGTTCAAGCTCGCAAAGTTTGACTCGAATACCACCCTAGTGAGCTGTTTGAATTTGGGAAAGAGAAGAAAAAAAATACCTAAATTGTAATTATTTCTAACAAATCACCACAATAGATCGCAATAATAATATTTACAAATGTCTAAATAGATTTTTACTGTATCAAAATTTACTAAAATTATGGACTCATGGTTATACCCACCATCTATTTCTTCAGGAATTAAATATATCCACAAAATGGCTCTTTTCAACTCTAGTGTTTTTTAAGATTTCTCACTCTTAATGAGAGATTAAAATATTTAATCTGATCATGTGGTGAGTAACCCCAGATTCGGTTGACCATTCTTTTTGTTCCATTATCTTTTCGCTTAATGTCTACAGAATCTTTCTTATAAGCTTACTGAATTTCCCATATTGGGTTACTACGTCCCGTTAGCCAAACACGAGATTATGTATGGTTTGGCGACTTCGGACTATAACAAAATGGATCTAACACATTCGGATCAATATGAATCCAGATGCACACAAGATGATATATTATGAATATAGGCACAATCTTTAATCCATCTATATTATTATAAATGGATCATGATTAAAAAGTAATCCACTTAGACGCTGTCAAATCATTTTCTGTTTAATAGGAAATAATAGTTAAACTTAACTCAACTATATGTATTCAACTCAAATTCAAACAAAGCCTTATCCTGATTAGTTAGGGGAAGAAATGACAATTAAAAAGTAATTAACACATCTAAGTTCCATTATCTAGCAAGCAGTGTTTAGTTTATATCAAAACTTTGGGTTTAACTATGGTTGCCAAAAATTATTTTTTAGTGTAATACTTTTTAAAAAAAAAATTCAACGAGATGCGTCATGTATGATGTTCTTTTAATATTAAAGTTTGATTTTTTTAAATAAAACAATTAAAAATCTTGTTTTTTTGGTATTGGATATCACAAAATTTGTTTCAACACTATTAAATTTACCCTAAAGCTTTTATTGCAAAGTTAATTAATGACTATGAGCATGACAGATATTTCAAAGGGCATCTTCAATGGTGACCCGAACTCAAACTCAAATTTGAGTAAAAAAATAAGTAAAAAATTTGATTTGATATAAGAATTCTAATTGACAAACTCAAATTTGAAAAAAAGTGAAATATGACAATTGAATCTTTTAAAAAAGTGAAATTTAACTATTGAAAATTTGAATAAATATTTGAGTTTGCCTTAGTTTAAGTAAAAAGTTGAGTTTTCTTTAATTTGATATAGGTTTGAGTTAAAGATCGAAGCTTATTTTCAGCTTATTTTTATTCAAATTTAATTTTGAATAAGAGTTTGAGTAAGGAGTTAAGATGTTCTAATTAAATTATGAAAACTCAAGGTAGTTTAAATGATAATATAAACGAGCTATAAACCCGACGTCTTGAATTCGAATCTTAACAATCATTTAGAATAGGAATTTAATTTTTTCATAAATATCTTAATTTTAATGTGAATGATCTTATTTTAATGTATATGTAAGTTAACCAAACACCTTTTAGCAATGAAAATAGAAAATGTTATGAAAAAACGTCATGAGAACAAAATTTTACCCGCAGGAGAGAGATTGTAGAGGATGTGGGTAAACTTGAGGCCGCTATCACTGGTGCTGAGGGTGGGAGCATAATGGTGGTGGGTCACATGTGACACCTTCGGCGTTTCCGACTTCCTTGCCGGGTCTCCTCTCACCACCTTCGGCCCCGTCTCCCTCGTAAGTGATGCCAATGAAGCACTAATCACATAAACACCATTTAATCAAGCCTTCTTTAACATCATTAATCAAAGTCTATTTCGGTCTCTCCGGTGGATAAGCAAAACATAAACATTTCAATGCATCTATGAATTTTTTAAAATTATTTTTATAATATTAATCAAAACATATTAAAATAACATAAAAATTATGATATTTGTGAGAATTTATTCGCGCGTTCGGAATGTCTTCTCCACTAAAGGATTTTGATTGACCTGACATAAGATTATGCTTTATGTCAATAACTTTTATCTCTCAATCTTTGCGGGCACACTTGTTCCACGTCAACGGAGAATCGCCTCCCCCTCACATATAAGTTTTAGTATTATACGGAGGTGCCTTATATGCAAGAGGGAAGACGACTCTCCATCGATATGGGACAAGCGTGCGAGAGATAAAAATTATTGGCATAAAGCATTGGCTTACACTAGATCAACCAAAATCATTCGGTGTGGGAAGGCTATCCCGAACGCGCTGATAAATTTCTTAGAATATTCAATTACTAATTCCTTTCGGTTTAACGGAAAAATTACGTACCTGATGGATTGGAGCTGTTGTTGCTGGCGTTCTTCTTCGGAGATGGCGGCAAAGGCGCCCTCGGTTCCTTTGATCGGAGTTGTCGGTGCCGATTTTTTCCTCTGAAGTGAATGTAACTCGTCAATAGTCTTAGCTTTCACCGGAGTAGCACTATCGTCATGGCAGATCTCATCTTGATTCTTCTTGTGCGTTTGAATTTTCGACAGGCCATTGCGGCCCCTTATGTTGCTCGCAAAACTGAATTCTCCGTTCTCTGTTCCGTTCGACGCCATTTTTTCCTCTGCAATAAAGAATCACACAATGTTAAAACTTTGCTTTCAACACACAGACATATATACACCGATCGGCATATAGATAAACTCCAAAGACATATATACACCGATCGGCGTATAGATAAACTCCAAAAAAATCTTCGAAAAGGCCGTAAATACTGGACTTGATCCTTAAAATAGGAACATAAGTGTTATATTAAGAAAACAAATCTTTAAGATTATCTAGTAGCTGTTTCAATATTAAAATTCATCGAATTTTTTGATTCAGGATACTAAGCATTATTATATGCATAAAATGGAAGAGAGAGAGAGAGAGAAACCAACCAGAAATTAAGGAAGATATTGCTGATCAACGAAATGGTAGTGAAGAACGAAAATAAGAAAAAAGGGATAGAGAGAACTAGAAAGGTTCAACCATTCAAGTAGGCTATGGAGGTCTCTTAGTAGAGACGATGAGAGAGAAAAGAAAGGATGTATTCATTGGCCACAAGGGGACACAGGCTTTTGTAGAGTTCACCGGAACAAGTGCAGCTAAACCCTGGTCAAGTTTAACCATGGTTAGTTCCTTAACCCATCCAAAGTTTGAAGTCCCAGATGGGGATTATTTAAAAAATAAATTCAAAGTTTGAAAAAGGCGAAAAACTCCAAAAGCCGAATTAAACGCGAAACAGAATTCCATATGGGTCGAAGCTGCCTCTCAACTAAAAAAATAAAAGCAAGGGCCCTCTTGGTCTTGGATAAAGAGTTTTAGGGGATTAAGATCCATCTAAGAGTAATTTGTACTATTTAAGTATGGTTTACAATTCCATTTATATAAAATAAGAGCCGCTGATGATGAATTTAAGTCTGATCCCTTTTTAAGCTTAAAACCCTTTTATGGGCTTACCCAAGATAACTCGGGTGCCCCATCAAAATGGCGTTCATCATACTCAAGCTGAGTCATAGCCCAATTCCGTGAAAGTCCAGAATCATTTAGTTTAGAATAGACACTAGTTCGGCATCTCGACAATAAGTATTTGTTCAGGAATTAGAAACTTGGCATCAAGTAAATCATAAGTGACCGTACCGTCACATGTGGACAAAGGACAATTTCTGACAATTCTAATGAACGAATATTCATCGATAGTAAAGATACTCATGTATTCCGTTCAAGGTGTAGTGGACGCAAAAAATTGTCAGGATGACAGGTTCAACTAAAGGACAAACGAAAGGAGGACCACAGAATCAGTCAGAAAATGAACTACTATAAAACCCTAATGATAAGATGTATAAATAGTGAACAACGCCGTTGTGTAAGAGAGAGATAGAGAAAAATAGGGAATAGAGCTAAATTACCAACAACAACCTAGAAAATGCTGTGTGAAACCAAACCTTTTGTAACAATAAACTTCATTCTTAGACAATATAATTCTCTAGGAGTGTAGCTTCCGTCTTTCATTTGAAGTAAAACACTTATATTTCTGTTTCTGTTTCATTATCAACACTTAATGCACTTTCAGTCATAGCACACATTAATTCCCTTTGGGTCTCGTCCCTGATTGTTCTGTAGTTGGGTAAGAAGATTTTGATCATCATTAAGAATAATGTTATTGAGATCTAATTTATTAATTTAATTATTGACTTAAATCATTATAATTCTTGGATTAATTGTGGACCATCAAATTTCATAATAACTCAGAAGTAAGATTCAACTCATTTATATTTTTTTACTGAATAATAATATTACATAAAAGTGATTATGTGATATAGGATTAGATTGAATGTTTACTACATACGAGTTGTTTATAGTATCACATTTTCTTTGCGTATCGTACCAAAATTTATTATATTTATAAGTGCTTTTATTACTGTTATGAATAATGTAAATCACATGCTTCAATTTATGACGGAAAATTGAAGGACAATCTGAATAAAATTCATATTGTTACAAATTTATAATATTGAGAGTGTAAATTGAAATTTTTAACGTTTAGTGGTATAAATTGTAAATCAAATCATTTTTTGAGATGAAAAGTGATATTAACCCTATAATTTTTTAGGTCTTATTATAATTTTTAAAGTACCAGCTATAACTATTTTTGAGTCAATTTATAACTAAGTGCTAACTTGAGATTGATCATAACAATTTTACAATTAATCCCAAATTGACAAAAAAAAAATTAATGTTAATCCTAAAAATTATTAAAAAAATAAAAAAAATTGTAATGACGATGTGTACCAAATTATTTTTTTGGGGGGTAATATAGTCATCTCCCGACAAGTCAATAAAACAAGTCAATTCAAAAAAAAAAAGGTCGTAGTACAGAAAATAAAACAAGTCAATTTTGTGAGTTGCGTGCGTAGATTTACTGTACTACGTTGGAAACGTGTGAAGTGGAAAGAAAGTTTGTGGGTTGAGTCACGATAGGCTACACGTCATGCCTACTCAGCGGACGATATCAATCTGGTTTTGCTGTCTAAAAAACAACGGATTTGTCAATTGTATACGACGGCGGTGGGCTGACATTTGGCAAATTGTATTTCTCTAATCCTAATTAAATTAATTGGGTATTTCATTCTTAAATGTGTCTTTGTTCTTGTGGACAGACTTGAACTAGTAGTGGTAAGTCACAAGCCAGATCAAAGAATGGCAGTTGACCGGGCCAAAAAGGGGCGGAATAGTTTTCTCTTCGTACTCGCTTCAAAAAGATTTGTGAGATAAATTTAATTTTTATTCTTGTCTTGCAGATAAATTATAGTCCCACCCCTATTTTCATGATAAATCTTTACACAGAAAAATAGATCTATGCAAAAGGCTCAGATCTATGAAGAAAAATGCTAAATTTGTGAAGGAAAAAAATGGATCTATGCTAAAAAAAAGCCTACATCTATGGAAAAAAAATAATAAATCTATACTTGCCTTATGTGCACACATTTTGCTTTATATGCATGCAATATATTATAGAAAACATATGGTTGTGACTTGTGAGGGCCTGTGATTGCCCACCTAGAGTCTAGAGACGAAGGAGATGGATGGGAATTGGTAAGTCAAGGCGTGAAAATGAAGAACAGATGGGTATTTATTGCTAATGGAGAAAATGAGGATTTTTCCTACTAATGGAAGTCCATGTGTATACCTAGTTACATAAAAAGTTAATGGGTTTAGTGGGATGCAATGGGGCGGGACAGAGTGAAGATAAGTTTCAGTCCATCTCTGTTTTTATTCTTGCACATGTTTTTAAAGGTATACTTATATATGTTCCCGATTCAATACGCATGATCCATTCTCGATCTAAATGAGACGAGTGTAGGCGAGTTCTCACTAATTTTCAATCTACTATTATCTCTAGCCTGATCTCTGTTACTGCAATCAAATTTAGGGTTCTTAACGAGCAAAGTTCATTGTCCTAAACCATCTAAGATATATTGTGTTAAAATTTATTTAATTTATGTTGATCTGATTTTAATTAAATCAGATGGGATTTTCATTCTTAACGTGTGTTACAGTATTCTTCTTGTGGACAGATGAATTCTAGCAACGTGCTTATCTAATTCTATACTAAATCTCTGTCTCAAATAATCTGATAAATTTATTATTATTAAATAATAAAAAATATTATGGGGACTTAAATCATTACATCCATTGAATCAATTGTGAATTACAATGTTAGATGAATCTTATTTTCAATTCAACAATTGTCGTTAATTAGGTTATAATATTAGGTCTATCTAACATTTCCCTTAAATAATTGGGTCCAATTGATATTCGCTGATAATTATTTTACTACATCATTCGGGATGAAAATTTTCGTATACAAGTTTAATAAATATATAGCTTATTCAAGGAAGAGTTAGTCGTAAGTTACAAGTCAGCCCTCCGTTTCGCATTCAGACTATGCCCGCCGCTACAAGTATATTGGGGGCATAAGCTGGGATTAATAAATTTTATGCAATTAACTGTGACTAAGTTAAAAAATAAAATAAATAAACCACCATTTTTTCCCAAAAAATAATTGATTAGACCCANTGTTGGGGGCATAAGCTGGGATTAATAAATTTTATGCAATTAACTGTGACTAAGTTAAAAAAATAAAATAAATAAACCACCATTTTTTCCCAAAAAATAATTGATTAGACCCAATTGAAACTTATCTAAAGTTAAAAAATAAAATAAAGAGTAATGCTAGATGAACTTAAAAAATAGACTTGATAATTTCAATCATTGAATAGGTAATGGGTCCCAATAAATACTGGAACCCACAATGAAATCAATAGTTGTAATTATCAAGTCTAATTTTTAAGTTTATGTAGCATTACTCTAAAATANGGACTTTAAAAATAGACTTGATAATCTCAATCATTGAATAGGTAGTGAGTCCCAATAAATACTGAAACCCACAATGAAATTAATAGTTGTAATTATCAAGTCTAATTTTTAAGTTTATGTAGCATTACTCTAAAATAAATATAAATACTTTTATGATTGTTAAATTTTTTTTGATGAAATGTTGGGTACAGTATTGTTAATTATGTTGTGCGGTGACAATTTATATTCTCTCTAAACCAAATGCATGATATAAGACTTCATAAAACAATATTGTTTCAATATTATATTATTTATATATTTAACACCAATACAATTNTGTGTTGTGCGGTGACGATTTATATTCTCTCTTAACCAAATGCATGATATAAGACTTCATAAAACAATATTGTTTCAATATTATATTATNTATGTTGTGCGGTGACAATTTATATTCTCTCTAAACCAAATGCATGATATAAGACTTCATAAAACAATATTGTTTCAATATTATATTATTTATATATTTAACACCAATACAATTCATTTGTTATGCTTATTAAATAATTGTGTTATTTTAAAATAATATCCTATTAGGTTTAGATTGTCTTGACTTCTAAGAGTCTGATCCAGACTATTAGATCTTACGATTCTACAAACTGGTATAAGTAAACTGATTCGAGTTTCTTCTAGAATCCATAATTCATATGATCTTNCCTCTAAGAGTCTCATCCAGACTATTAGATCTTACGATTCTACAAATTGGTATAAGTAAATTGATTCGAGTTTCTTCTAGAATCCATAATTCATATGATCTTAATAGTTTGTGATTCGAGTCTTATCTGATTAAGACGAGTAATCACATTCATATAATCTTTCATTTTCATTATCTTCTTCTCTTTTTTTGATTTTTTTTTGTTTCAATGTTGAACACCTAAAATTGTTTCTCATAACTTTGTAATTTCTCCTCTATATGTGCCACTCTT